GCTGCGGGTGTCTTGTGAGCCGTTTTCTTTTTCCTTCTTTTTAGGGAGGAACACAAAAAACACTCTGCGGCCTGTGCTTTTCTTTCACTTCAGAAAGATCCTGATAACATGACACTGCAGGAGCTCCTGAAGCTGGATAAAGAACGAATGAAAAATGCAATCGTATGTATGCATAGGCACCATCGTGTTTTTCTACACCCCCGTGATGCTGCAAGACTGACTTAGTTTCTAGCCTTGGGATTATTTATCTGCCCCTTGGTTCCTTACCACAGTGTTGCCAAAATGGGTGCTTTGTGACTCCTGCTGGGCTAGATGGTGTGTCCTTTCCTGGTTCTCAGCCTTTGCCATATGGAGCCTATTTTCCCCGTGAAGCTGAACGATGCTCAATTTAGTGGTAACCAGTAGTGTATTACTTTTATTCTTTACAGAGAAAAGAAATATCTCAGAAGAGGATTGAGGTTGAAGATGCTGCCAAGAACGTGCGTCGTGAAATAGAGAACCTGGTCTCCTAGGACACTGTAGCTTCTCGCTTGCTGGTGACATCTGCCTTGTATGTGTGCTCTGGCACTGCCACTTTGAGTGAATGGCTGTTTCTTGAGACTGCTTTCAGAATGGCCATCTCTGTGAGAAGCATTCTGAATTCTCCTTCACTCCCATGAGTTTGCCCAGGAAGTATCTGGGGTTTGGTGCAGTTCACAGGTAGTCTTTTTCTGCAGGGATTCTCCTATTCTTCCTATTGGTTCAATTAAGGATTAATACTTGTGATTTTATTTGTTCTTTATTTTTAAACTAGCAGTTTCTGGTTTGGAGATGCAGGTAGCTCTGGTTCAAAAACTTCTGTCTCTTATAAGAGCTGGAGGCATTTCCATTTTTATACTGAATATGCCAATACTTTTGTAAGGAAGATGGGAAAGGAGTTTTAAAACTTCTTAAGAGATATAAGACTGTGGCTAATAACATCTAATTATACCACATCTTAGTGTGCCTGGTATCCTTGTAAATGTCTACTTCTATTTGGATGCTGCCTCATGTTAATGAATTTATAAATAAAATTTTAAGGAAAAACAGCAAAGTAATTTTGCTCTGTTTTATGGAGGAAAAGAATCTCACCTTTGATGCAATGAGCTGCACTGAATATACTTTCAACTTCAAAATGGAAAATAAGCTGATCAAAGTACAGCTTGCAGCACTATTGCTGAACTGTCAAACTGTCTTAAGCAGTCTCCTTAAAATGTCCTTGTGCTTTGGAAGGTTTGGCTGGTCCCTCTCCTTGCACAGGTTTGGAAAGGAAAAGAAACATGCAGAACATAGTGCAGTCAGTGAGGAATTGTGCTCCGAACTTCTGGGAAGGCATGGGATAATCTTGTACACAACATTTGATTGTTGTAGGGCCTGAGCTGATCATACAGCGTTGTGAAGTCTGCATACAGAACTGGACACCTGCACCTAGCTGCTCCCAAACTCAGAGAACCTCCAGTTCCATCTTGGTGAAAAGGTAGCTAGCTGTAATTACACACTGACAAAATTAATATTCCTGGGTTTTCTAAGTTTTTTCCAGTGTTCCCTGTCCAAGCTTACTTGTGAAAAATGAAAGAACTTCATTGTTTCCAGGTGTAACAGCCGAATCACACACAGATTGCTCCTTTGCATTCTTTTTTTATGCTTGCATTGCAGCTGTAAATAAAGAACACACTATTTTAAGCTACTTAAATTCATTCCAAGTTACTGGAATTAGTGAAATTATAGGTAAACGTTGATGCAGAGTAACTTGAGAATTTCTGAATGCCTCTTCCTGCAGGGGCACAACTGTGAGATGAGAGCACTGAGCCTTGGGCAGGCTCTAGCTCTTCAGTGTTGCCAGCTAGATCTCATGAAGTGCTGGGGTTAAACCCCTAGCCCTGAATGAGGGCTGGCATATGGATGATGCCCACAACCAGGCAAGAAAGACCCTCCTGATTGGTTTTCACCCAGGGTCTGGCCAGCCTTGGGTGGGAACTGATTACTCCACATTAACTTGGAGGCAGGGCAAGGAGCCACCTCTTTTAAGAGCTGACTCTGCTTGCAGTGGCACTGGGAGACCTGCCCACACAGTGGATGTGTGATTCTGGTTCTCAAAAGGGCTCCCTGGCTCTATAGGAAGTGGAGTTCCCAGGACATCACAAGATCATGAATTTCTATCTGGGACTCGTGGCCTGGCTGGTTCCATCTCCTGTAGCTTGTAACCTTGGCCAGCTCACTCCCTTCTGCACATCCTGTGTCGTGAGTGTGTTAAGTCATTCCTTCCTCCAGTGGTCTGGCATGTTCTATATTTGGTGTAGGATTTGGTTGCTGGTTTGCCTGTTGATAATATCCTTGTATGTCAGGCAAGTGGTCGACAGAAGATGTGTGCAAGCAAACTGGGTGGCCTGCAGCTGAGCTGGAGGCAGAGCTCCAATACTTACTGACACGGGGCTCAGGTGCGTTCCTGTGCCTCTGATCCATGCAGAACTGCTTCATGGGGGGCAGTGCTGGTGTGTCTGCACAGGAGGAATGAGCAATGGGCTTACTGCTGAAGGAAACTTCCATTAAGTGGAGAAGTAGTCTAGCAAATTAAACTAAGGAAACTGAATAGGAATATATACAATACACTAAGAACTCATGGTGATTTTTTTTTGGGTAGGTTTTAGTGTTATTTATTGTATTAAAGCAGATGGGGAAAAAAGCTGACTGGAACAGCAGCTTTCTTAACAGGAATTATGAAAAATCTTCAAAGCTGGTAACTGAAAAGACTGTGAATACTATCATCTTTGCTCAGTTGCAGCCTTGTTTGTGTTTTTTTTATTTTGCCTTTGAATGGATCTCCTGACTATAGATTTGTGGAGGAGGGGTGGGAGGTTAATCCTCTCTAAAACTGGAGCATGGGTACTTTTTTGGTAAAACTTCAAAAGACCCAAGGCAGAGAATCAGGGCTTACTTACATTCCAGACTGCTGGTCAGTGCTGGCACCTTCCTGCACCAGAGGGGAGGTTGCTTCTGTGTGCTTGTTGGGGACACCAGGTTGGGCCTCATTACTGATGCTGTTCAGGTCAGCTCCCTAAAATGCACAGGAGGGAGAAGGTGAGCTGTTAAAAGCCATAAAGATTCTTTAGCCTCTACCTTGCTGTAATATTATGCTAATTTAAGTTGGTTAATGGACTTTATGCTCAAAACAGAGAAATGTTCAGATTGTGTGGCATTGTTTCTTCATGGTTTTTCTGAAAATGTTTCTCATCTCCTAGCTCAAAGTCAGAGTAAATGTATCCAGCAAGAGTAGTCAGACTAGATCCCACCATCAGGATGCACCTTACCACTGAACAAAAAGGTAGAGGTTATGCTGGCTTTTGCTATACAGAGGATTGCATCCTAAACTATAAAATCAATATATTTTTCTTTCTGTATGGCTTTGACAAAACCAGAGGAGAATGCCTTATGCACTGGCTAAATAGAAGTTTGGGGAGAACATACATAAATGTAAAATACGCTCTTCTCTAAAATGCTCTTTCAATTTGAAGCCATTCAGCTGTATTGCAATGTTGCCCCCTGAGCATAAAGTTCAAGTTGCATACCAGGCTAATATTCATGCAGTAAATGGCCAAAGAGCTGCAAAGGGCAATCTCAGCAAACAATCACTTACTTCACTAAGCAGCTGTTCTAAGAAGGTGATTCTTCCTTTCCCATTTGGACCCAGTTCATCCGGTGGTTGTACGGACTGTGGCTGTGGAAACGCAGAAAAGAGCCAGCAATGTTTCACATAATGGACATACCAGTAGGTGGGCCATATTCTGCCTTGAGTAAAGGTGTAAAATGCACATGGTGGCACGGACGTGATGTAGCTCAGCCTCGGTAGTGCGAATCCGTGAGCCTTCTTTGGGCATGTCTTCCTGAATCTGAGCAAGCGTTGGATAACCAAGGCTCATGGCTCACTACTGAGCTCTTGATTCAGCAAATGTACCTGCACATGGTTAACTTCCCCTCAGTGCAGCTCTCCAGGGAGGTACAAAGATCTGCTCACCACAGTAACATTAAGCATAGACAGGTTCTTCGCTGTAGGATTAAAGTTCGAAGCTTCCAGAACTTGTGGAAGTCTTTTGTGATGCAAAACACGTTCTTTTTTTAGTAAAAGCTAGTTTATCAAATCTGAACTAAGAACAAAACTTGAAACCTTTTCTTTCTTTCCACCTTTCCACCTCCTTCCTCTCACTTTTTGAAAGCCAGCTGCTTGACCAGGCACTTCTATCTCTCGACTCGTATCACAAATCTCTCTATTCTTTCACCTGTTGAGTTGGCCAAGTGATCCAAGCTTAGATTAATGTATGTTTCCCTTTGGAAACTTTTCATGCCATTCCTGACAAAGCATTTAGTAGACATTGCTTTCAGGATATTTGGTCTTTATTGGAAGGGAAGTCTTCTTGCATTAAACTAGCCCTCAGCTGAGATGACATCTCAGCTTGATGGGAAAACTGAGTTGATGTAAAAGGTTGTTGCATAGATCATCTTCTGTCTAATTCCCAGTCTGTGTGAACAGTAGTTCTATCACAGCCAAGGGTATGTCCTGTAGAGTCAAGTCAAGCTAAGCAGTGAGGCCAAGGGGAGGAGATAATGCCTCCATCTGACGTTGCTTCTGAGAAAAACCTGTCTGCAACAGGCTTTAGGCCTAATGCTGGGTCAGTAAACAGAATAGCCCAAAAAATGAGATCAACAATCTCATTATGCTCTCAGTAGGAACAAAGTTTAGTTATTTCCAGTTCTGTCAGTTACCAATGTTCATGGTTTGTATGAAGTTGGACTTTTGTCTCCTTCCCTTGTCCCCAGTCAGTGTTAAAAGCTTTCTATGCCTTTGTATGCCCTCTTTCACACTAGTGTTGCTATAGTTTTTCCTGCCCTGGCAGAAGATACATACAGGGAGCTTATCTTCTTTTTCTGTGAGCCTTCTTGACTTTGTTCTCTTTATTTTGCCTCTTGAATGGAGAAGATTAGGACCATCTTTGCCTGTCAGAAATGGAAACAAGGGTTAATTCCAAGCAAAGTGAGTATCTTAAGAACTTGGGTGAGAGATCTGGAAATAATTTATCCACAAAAATATTTTGTGTTGAAATCAAAGCAATATTTATCAATTTTTGTACAAGCGAAAACGATGAAATATTTGTTGCAGGTCAGACTGGTTTTAACAGAAAGTTTACACTTAGGCAGTCTTACTATTTTGAAATGAAGATTCAATGAACTGTGGAATTTGGGGATTTAAGTTTTTTGGGTTTTTTTTGTTTGTTTGTTTGTTTGTTTTGTTTGTTTTGTTTTGGTTTTTTTTTTGTTTGTTTTTTAATTAGCTGCCTGCTATGCAGCAAGCTTGACTCAGGTTCATGAACTGTTATGACCAAAAATTTTACAATTTTTTAATGCTATTTGACTCCCAGGTACTTGGGAACAACACGAGAGGACCTTGAGTAGCTATGTATGTCCATTATTTTTAAGAGAAGTAATCTACCAACATGCAGGAGGGTTGATGCTATGCAGCATGTGGGGACCCTCTGAGCTGGTGCTACCAGAGTGCCTGAAATCCCAGTCACATTATTTACACTCCAAAAAAACTAGCTCCGAGTGCTGTGGCTGCCTCTTGCCAAGTCTCAGGCTGGAAGCACAAAGTGGAAGAACCTTATCCATGAATTGAGGTATGTTAAATGACACTATGGCAATTTCTGGATTCTGCTGTTGACTCTACAACTAGTTGGTTTAATGGAAACATAAGGCCAACATGAAATGCCTAAAATGCTGAGCTGTTACTGACGCCGATGGGAGAGGCTTAACTAAACATGTCTGTAAACTAAGTCTGGTATTAATGCATTTCATGGTTTCTTACCTTTGCCCAATGTACAAAAACAAGTCTCTGGCATAGCTCAAAATCAGAGATAATATTGACATTTATGGCTCCTACTGTAAAAGAACATGCAAAGCTTCTGAAGTTTTATCACGATAATAAAAACACTGCTGTGAGCTGTGGCTGCAGTGTACTGGCCTTTTCATTGAGGGATGAAGCATTCCCTTGAGTTTTTGGCAGTCAGTACATTGCTTAAATCTCACCTCAGCCATGTTTTGAGACTTAAAGGTCAACACAGGCAGGTGCAGAATGTGCCAATATGTTAGATTTCCTATCTCAGTGTCTAACCTTCCATGCGCTAGTTCTGTATTCTTCACTACTGTATTTATGGTCTATTGTTAACATGGAGGGAAGGAGGGGGAGGAATCTCACCTAAATTAGTCTGACTGCCATTCTGTCCTTCTCTGACTTCTCTTAGGGTGTTCAGGTCATGACTGCTGAACTTCACTGCTTTATTAGTATGAGTATCCTGTAGAATCATCAAATGCAGGCAGTTAACAAGGTTGTTATGTAATGCTGTTAGCAGCACAAAACAGTGGTGTTGCATGTGAAAAAAAATGTATAGGCTTTTAAAATCAGTCTCAGATTAGCACAACACGAAATTATATGTCATTGAACTCTGTTTTGAGTCAAAATAATGTAGCATTTTTTTCTAAACCTTGTGTGAGGTATTTGTTTTGATTTAGAGGAAGAAAGTGATACAACCTCACTTAATGAAATGAAGACTCATTCAAATGAAAGTTTCTCCCCCTTGAGAGACCTGATTAGTGCCTCACTTGTGAAATGATGCCTCACCTTTTCAGGCATCACATGGCCTGTTAAGATTAAACAAAAGCTTGTTTAGATGGTAAACAAAAGAAGTGTTAAGATTCTACACAGTGAATTTTGGATCTTTGAAATGGTAGATTTTAATCTTTGAAAAGGTGGAAATGAATACATTGGGTGATTTTTGGAACATGGTAATTCTGGAGGTAGGGATTTCAAGTGTTTGGATATGGTTAACAGGAGCTCTGGCAACAGCTTTCTCCAAACTATTAAACTACTAGGTTTGTTTCTTAAGAGCACAATTTGCAGAATGAAGAAAAGGAGGATCTAAGATCAAGAGCTGTGGGATTGTAGAATCATCAAACAACAGCAACTGAAAGATGAATGTTAATATCAAACTAATGAAATGTAAGATGATAGCAACATAGCCATGAAGTCTGGCTTAATCAGATAAAGATACCTGTTCAGGCAGCTCCAACAGGAAAAGATTCCTTGCTCTGGAGTGATGAGCTAACACTCTGAACAAAAGAATTTCTTGTTCAGAACGGAATTTAAAATATATCAGTGTTATACTGACTGGGCTAGTGATAGCTTTAGACCAGCTGCCTAACAACAGGCCTCAGCCTCTGAACTGACCTTGTTAATAGCAAGAGCATAATTCAGTGTAATAATGACTTCATAGTCATCTTCACGGATGGTGGCGGAATTAATCTAGAGCAAAAGAGCAGCCATTAGTATCTCTTACAAAAAGTACACAGAAACAGGTTTAGGAATAAATCTTGCTGCTGATATTTATCATGGAGCCAATACACAAAATCACACATGCGGCCTGTGTCTACCTGTGATATTGTACCAACACTTCCCATCTGACTGAGCAAGGGAGAGGTGATAATCTGAGTGACTGGAAGTAGCAGAAATGACTGAAATGCCAAATGAATGAAGAAGGAGCAATAATGATATGTTTCATGAAAGTTCAGTCATTTTCTACCCAGGTTTTGCAGCTGTATGAAAGGCTGTGGTGTTCTTGGGACTCCCTACTCTGGGAGGACTGGTTGCTGCTTTAGCTGCACCAGTCTGTAGAAGCATAGTCTGTAATGAAATGTGAGCAACTTTATCAATTCATTAAGGCAGTACTGCTGGCAAGCAGGCTACTGAGGTTGTAAAAAAATGAGGGCACAGAGGATTAGAAAGAAGTGGAATTAAACTGACAAGGTTATATTGTAGCACATTGAGAATTTTGAGACAGGTTTACTATATTTCTAATCCACAGAAGAACTGAAAAAGCAGCCTTAATCCCACATAGTTGGCAACTACTTTGAAACACTTCTGTTACTTTTGGGGGCAGTGGTTTCAAGAGAATGGGATGACAGAAAGCCAAGAAACAGCAGGAACAGCCTTCTCTAGGCAGTTCAATTTTCAGGCATATAATTCTGTATCCTCTAGCAAAGGAAGCAGGCTGCAGTGGACCTCAACTCTACCAAGCAGATGTCTCTTATATTTATAATTGTACCACAGCTTCTGAACATACTGGTGGACCCAATAGGTCTCAATGAGTCTAGAATTCAGATGCCAAGTATCTGATGGAGTGTCATGCTTCCCAAAAGTGTAATCTGCTAAATAACAATTAGCTTTCTGATCTGCACTATTCACAAACTTTTCTGTAGTTGTTAAACTAAAAATTGTTTGTTTTTTTCCCCTGCTGGTGTCAGGATAGACTAAGTAATAGTGAGCTTGAACTGTAACAAGGGAGACCTGGGTCGAGCACTGGGATAGCCTCCCAGCAGGA